GGAAGCTCAAGAAAATACTGACGAATTTGACGAATTATGATGAAGATGTTAGGAACCTCGACCCAAGAAAGCTGCGGCTAAAGAACGCATTAAATACATTGAGAAGCAAAGTGAGTATCCTTCTAGTAGAGCCTGAAGAATGGATACAAGTTGTTTCCGCATTGAGCTGGAAAGAGAAAAAGAATGAAGAAGTTTATGAAGAGTAAGTGTGCTCTAAGAGATCAAAACATTTGAGATTATCAATGAGGTAGAAGATAGTATCGATTATTTAGAGGCAAGTCTAAGGAGAACCATAGAACTTCGCAAAAGACTGTCAGTATCAATCGTTAATCAGAGTGGACAAGGAAGGACCACACCAACTGAAATTGAAATGAGTGTCAGTTTACCGACGATAGCACTGCCGAAATTTGACGGCAATCCCCTCGAGTACAAAAGTTATTGGGACCAGTTCAATAACTTGGTCCATCAACGAAATGTTGCCGATGTCACCAAATTCACCCATCTCTTGTCTACTCCGCAAGGAAAGGCGAGAGCAGCATCAGAAGGTTTACTCGTAATCAATGCTTCCTGCAGTGAAGCATTCGACATATTGCGCGATCGATTCGGGACGTGAATATCGTAGGTAAAGCCCTTTATGCCCACATTAAGAGCCTTTCCAGATCTAGGAGAACGACAGAAAGTATCGGAAGACTAACTCAGAGTCTTAACAAAATATGTCATCAGCTGAAAGCAGTAGATCATCCAGCAATCTTTTTGGGAATTCAGCGAATTTATCGTCAAATGTTCTCGAATAAGTTGCTAAATCGAAATTAATGGCAGAACAGTGGACGATGAGCTGTTTACAAAGGAAAGGAGCAGCCTGATATTGTGACAGGTTGCGATCATATGTGGGAATTTTTGAACGGAGGTAGAATTGAAAGAATCTCTGATGGTTGTATAGGATTGCAGCGGCCATATGCCATATCATGTGTGGACAAGAGAGAAGTCCACTCCTTGTGGGGTAATGAGATCCACACTGTGTGATCAGTTAAGGAGAGTACCACGACAAATCTGGCTCTGAAATGATAACGAAAATTAAAACATCTGAATACCGACAAACGCACATGAATCACTACTTCATAGAAAATGAAGCTATCCCCACCAAAATCTCCGGACGAAAATACCTACCGATGAATAGAGCGGATCCTATCCGGATCCCTCAAAAATATTATTATCAAGTATTATTATAATGGTAGTAAATATTATTGTTATTCAACATGGTATGTTCGCTAGATCAAATGCAATTTGATATGCTTGTTGAAAATGA